TCTTCTCACGGCGCTATCACCATCTCCCAGCTCCGCGTCGTTACCATCAGCTTACGGGCACTGCGAAAGTCTGTTTCAAAGCACAGGCTGAAGCCTAACAACGGGCTAAACACACCAAGGGGTGGTACCGGCGCTCCAGAGCTGCCGGTTTCAGGATGAGCCAAGCCACTTCCCAGAAGGAAAGGCACCCTGATATTGTGCCTGCATCCTGTCTCCCTCCTTGGGATTAGGGGTGAATATCGAGGGGGTCTGGGTGAAAGCATGGGGAGAATCACTACTTGCTCTCTGGTGCTGAGCTTTAGCTCCTGAGGGAGGTTTCCACAGAAGAACCCCAGCCTAAACTCCCACGAGGAAGCACATCCAGTTGCCAAGCTTCCTCTCTGTCATCGGGCAGAGCCTCTTCAGTCAACCAGGGCGATGCCAGGCTGGCACACGCCAAGCTGGGCACGGCAGCCCACGTCCGCCCAGGATGCCAGAAACAAGGAACGCTTCCGTAGGCAGCTGCCAGGCTGGAGCCTGCGTTAGTCCGCAACGTCGTCGTCCTGAGCTGTTCTCACCTCCAGGACTGGACCCAGTCCAGCCCGCACACCGAAGGCATTGTGGATCCTGCCCCGGACAAGTTAGGTGGTTTAAACACCTCTCAAATACAATAGCAAATACAGGCCTGCAATTAAAACAAACCAACAACCAAATACACTGCAAGGGCAAGGAAACACCAGCCACGCTCTCTCTGTCCGCAGAGCAATGCAGGTATGAGCTGCAAGAGCAGGTACGAGGAGAGGCTATCCTCAAACGGAGAGCAAATTACCTACCAAAGTTCAGGGTGAACAGAGTAACTCCCTGTCGTAACTGCTTACAAACGGCAGCATAAGCCTCTAAAATGACTTTCAAGACCCACTTGAATAGGTCTCATTTCTATCCTCACCTCCCACATTACCTCTTTCCACATCTCATAAAAAACTGAGAGCACCGTTCCTCCCTGCCCAGCCTCTTGCTCAAAGCGCTTCCAAAACCTTGCTGGCTCCCCGCAGCCCTGCACCCCGACACGCAGGCAATGCTGTAAACATCATCACGCCACAGCACCAAGTGTTTATGACCTACTTGGTAACCGCGCTGCTCGCAAGCATCCTCCGTCTGAACATGAGGAAGAACTTCCCTCTGAAGGTGACAGAGCCCTGGAACAGGCTGCCCAGGGAGGCTGTGGAGTCTCCTTCTCTGGAGATATTCCAGACCCGCCCGGACGGGGTTCGGTGCAGCCTGCTCTGTGTGA